AAGTGGAAGGAAGGTGCAAAATCACAAGAAAAGAGGGAAGATCCTGATTTTTTGGTCTATACCCGGTCGAGTATCACCTATACTCGATCGGGTATCTTGTTGAAATTTCAAATCAAATCGGATCCGAAAACAAAGGAACATGCAGGGAAGATTTTGACCACGATCGAGTGTCTATACCCGATCGGGTACCCCGACATACTCGATCGGGTATGGCTATAAATTTTACTCTAATTTCAATCGAGTATGGATCGAATTTGAGTTTCTACACATACTCGATCGAGTATCTGTATATACTCGATCGAGTACCCGAGCTGCACTCCCAAAAAGCCTATAAATACACCCCCTTTCCTTCACAATTAGATACCAATTCCTCTATACTCTTAAGCTCAGTTTAAAATAGCATTTCTTTATATTTCTTCTAGCATGTTTAGTCTCCAAATGAGGAGCTAAACTTCCATTTCTTGGTTTTGCTCTTGAAGCTTGTTGATTATTAAAGTTGTGAGTTATTTTCTTACTTTCTCCTCTTGATTATTAATTCTTCCCTTAATCTCATTCTATATTAATGTTGGAGGGTTGCTAAGTGACGATTAGTTAACGTTCCGACATTGATTATAACTAGAAACGATCAACGAACCGATGGTTAATCGTTGATGGTTTCACAAGTAAGTAACTTCGGTTTATTAATGCACGGTCGTGGTTAATAAACTTAAGAGGGATTAATTTTGTTGGTTAAACCGAAACCGTTGTGTTGAGGTTATCAATCTCAATTGATTTCATCAAGGAGTTAAAGAGATTAAATGATACTATTATATCGGTATACGACGTTGTTCTATATTTGAATAATAGTAAGGGTTATTAATGAACGGTCGTTGTTAATAACTACCCTCGATGAATTGGAGATACTCCTCGATTGAGTATTCGAGAGGGGATAAGTTATAGATATAACAATGATCGACTGAAATATATCAACAAGTGGAAAGTAGCAAGATCAAGTCCCTTTTATTCTTAAATTTAATCCCATATAACTCATTCATCTTCGTGTTTAATTTAATTAAATCACTCAACAATCAAAACCCCCCTTTTAATTACTAGTTACATAAAAAGAGAGTTACAATTTTTCTTCTCCGTTTTCGGGATTTGTCAGCACCCCGCGCGCGCGCGAAGAGAGCCTTTCCACCTAAGAATCTTAACTCCTTCAAAGAGGGTTCCCTTTATAAGGGGGTGAAAACCCATTGGGTTTTCAGGTGTGGGATATATCACACTAGAAACCCATCATTTTCTTAGTTTTCTCTATTTCAACGAGTCAACTTCGAGAATCAATTTCTCATTCACCTGTTATCCGTTTTGAGTGTACCAACCCATATCAAATTGTAGCCCTTAACAAGGAAAATCTGAAACCACTTTGACCCGACCCAAATAGGAAGTGGACCCTACTCCAAATATTGCCCAAAATTAACCATTTAATGCAATTTTTTAACATATTTTCCAACAATTTTTTATTTTTTTATTTGGAGTAGAAAGTGTAGCAAAACTATTAGACTAGACTACATTATTGCGAAGTTAGCGATCTGGAAGAATTCATGGGATTTTTTCCTTCAAAGTCTCATCCCATTGTAGCTTTAGGCCATCCACATACTTTTTTCTTTGCTATTATTTGATATGAATAAATTTGTTATTTGATTTAAAAAAAATATTTAACTCACATTCTGGTTAATAATTTATAGGCGGGTAAGAATTAATACAACGTAACGTTAGACATAGTGTTTTATTTAAATAATACTCTCCCTCCCTCTGGCATTGTTTAAATGATCTCTCTCCCTCCAACTCACAATATTTATACAAGTTTAACTGAGATATAAAAAAGAAAATAAAAGCTGTCTTGGCAAGATTTGCTTTGAGAAGAGAGATATAAGATGAATCATAATTCATAAATATAATATTTGGGACACTCAAATAAAGAAAATTGAAAAAGTTTAATGAGATGTAGTGAGTACCAATTATGTGTCGAGAAAATATGTGATATCTCACATGTTTCACAGGCTCACATGATTTTTTTTACTTTCAATAATACAATAAAAAAATATTGATACTATTATACTATGAAATATATATGAGATTTTTTCATTTATATGTATTATCTCACTTCACTTTTTTATATGTAGCCTATTTTCTCAATTAAACTCAGTTACCCGCTTTTATAAGAAAATTTTCTAATAGATTCATACCTCTCAAGAAGAATTGTCTTAGGGAGTGTGCGTAACCAAGATTTTAAAGGATATTTAATGTTTTAAAATTCCATGGATTTTAATGGATCTTTAAAGATTCTATCAAATTTTATGGAATTATATGTGATAGAATAGTGTATATTTGAGGAAGCGGTCCAGCCCAGCTGGTCGCCGACTCACTCTCCCTTACGGGAGGTCTCGGATTCGAAACTCAATGGAGTGAGTTTCAGCCTAGATTATTTCAGGCTCCCACAGCCCCCCTGGAGTAAAAAAATTGTAGATTTTAACAAATTTGAATGAATACCAGTGAGGCTCCCAGACCTTTGCTTCCCTACGAACAACTACTGCATCACTAAACTCATTGTTCATATGTTTTCGACATCTTTAAGAGCCGAATTGTCCTAGTTTGGAAATTGTATTGACGCCTCTGTTGATGTGACGATAGTCGAGTCAGAGCATCTAATGCTTGCTTCACAAGATCTCCTTCCATAGTACTGATGCAGATGAGCGAGTATGTTGGCCATTGCAAACCTCCGAGCGTTCAGTCGGTAGGGGAAGTACGACGACGGCTGGTTGTTCAGGATGAAAAGTTGTAGCTCAAGTGAGGAAGAAGAAGTTTGAACTGAGCTTGGCTAATTTTGAAATCTGAGGGGGATCGGAGAGACAAAATGTTGCTGAAATGATTTCTTCTTGTTTTTAGCCTATAATTCCTTAAAGATCAGTCCATATCCTTGAGAATAAAAATCCATGAAATATTTGAGGATGGTAGAATTGTATCATATACAATCTGTTGGAACATATTGATCTTTTGTTCATGCCAAACAATTTAGTGCTACTTTTTCTTTATAAGCCAACATGGTCTAGACTTGGTTTTAGATCCGAGCTGCTCATTCAAGATTGATTAATTTGGCTTATTTAAGAAAAACCTTTAGTACTCATGTTCAACTGTGACTTATACCAAACCAAAAAGGATTTTTCTCATGAAGAAATAATCAAATATCATACAAAGAAAGGATTGTTCATGCATCTCTTCTTACAAGGAATGATTATTTAATAAAAAGGTTTTTCTTGAAACAAAAAGGATATTTTTTAATACTTACAAGGAAAAATCTTCAAATCATTTTCACACAATAAGGAAACATCTTCAAAATAAAAGTACGATTTTCTAAAGAAAATCATGGACAAAACATCTTCCTTGCAAAGATCAGAAGAAAATTTAATGCGCAATATGTCTTTAATTTTTTACTATTTAAAAGGAAGCTATTTTTAAATCACATATGTGTGCATATATATTGCTTTCCAAATAGGAGGATCGGAAATCTATAAAGGCACATCAACACACGACGTAGAAAATCATGACATAGTACATTCAAAGAGATCTGAGCTCAAAGAGAAGAACCGATCTTTAAAAAGGAAGGATACAACAAAGGATAGTGCGGCTAGATGGAAAGTTCTTAATGTCACAAACTATTAGTATCTCCTAGCTAGACATCAATATAAATACCCAACCTTAGGTTAGGAAAAAAAAGTGCTTAAAGTGTGACAAAATTTTTCTCATAAACGAGAGTCGGACACATAAAAGATGTCTTAGAAGATTAAGTTCAAAGTAATAGTTTATTAAGTCATTCTATTAGTTGTTATTTATCATAATATCAATATTGTATTGGGTTGGAGAAGAACGTCTGAGAATCTTTTCTCCAGGATTTGAGTGTGACGTGAGAAGTTTGTTGTAGTGTTCAGACATTCCTTATTCAAAACATAAGGTTGCAAGAACTCCATCTAGAGAACTTCGAGTTGGGAAGACTCGAGGATAAACTAGGAGAGTTTATATCGTTACATATCCATGATTTTAAAGGTTTTTTGGAGAAATGTTTTGAAATTCCTTTGAGGGATGTTGAAGTTTTTAAACCCCCTTGAACCAAAAGATTTTTCCTCGTTAAATTCTTGTATCTTGAATTTCTACCAAGTCATTAACAGTTCTGTCCAAAGAGAGATAGAACTGTTCTGTTGTACAACATAAAATTCTAAGAACAATTTCTCTAGAGGAGTACTCTAAATTCCTAATTTGAACATCATCAAAATATAAATACAATTTATTCCTTACAGATACCACTTGTGGATCATTGCGCTTACCACTACACAAAAAAACAATTGCTCATAGTGTAGCACGCCCTTCCCCCTATAGATCAAGCAAAGCGCCACGTTTCGATTGCACCGGCAGGCTTGCAGACTGCTCGCACCGCATACCCGCTACACCACTCGGCAAATTTGCTCTTGGTGTAGCGGTAAGCGGTAAGCGTGACGATCCACACCCTATAAAAGCACCCCTTTCCTTCCCATTTTAAATCACCAATTTCCATATACCTCTAAGCTCAGTTTAAACAAGTATTTTCTTTATATTTTTCTAATATGTTTAGCCTCCAAATGAAGAGCTAAACTCTTCCATCTTGGTTTTGCTACATTGAGCTTGTGTTTGTAAGTTGTGAGTTATTTTTTAATCATCTTCTCTTGAATATTAATTATATTCGTATTTTATATCTCATATTAATATATGAGCATTACTTAAATGTTCAACTAGTTTTGTTTCATATAATAATTATTAATAAAACTGATCGACAAATACGCTTGTTATTCGCTCGGTCCTTTCAACGATAGTAAACTTGGATGATTAATGCATGTGTTTCATGGTTAATAATCTAAGGGGGGTTGATTATATTGACTAAACCAATAAACCGCTTGTGTTGAGATTGTTAATCTCAAGTAATTTCATCATAAGTTTTATTGCTACTATTGACTCAATATATGGCGCGTCTTCCATCTCTATTAATTTAAAACACATAAGTCGTTCATCTTAGTGTTTAAATACTCTTAAGTTCAAAATAATCTTAAAAGTCCCCTTGTTATCATTTCGTAAAAGAAATATATTTCTTTCCCTGTAGATACGATCTTTACTATGCTATACTACAGTATTAGTGCAAACATCTAGGATGTTATTTGTGCCCATGGATGAGGTGTGGATTGTTCATCTCAGTTTGCTTTTTCATTGCCATTAAAGCATCTTCAAAACATCTGGCTAGAACCTTGGGGTCAGGAATGATGTCTTTGGCAACCAAAATTTGCAGATCTGCCTTTCCGTCATAACTCACCATATATAATGCGATCGCCTGCATGCATGCATGGATGCTGCATTATTAATACCTATCTTCAAATTTGAACCTCAGCTACACCATATATATCATTCTTTAATTTTAATGCTTTGTCCGTTTCAAATGAATCAAAAAGTTGTTAACAAGGTTGATTGAAGATAAAATGAATATTTGATAAATAAATAATATGTTAGAGTTAGTAAATATTATTTATATGTTTAGACACTAAATTAGATGTTCTCTTGCACCCAAATACGAGTAAAACATAGGCAAAATTCAAAGATATGATTAAACATGTTTTTTTCACAAATATGATTTCTTTTATCTAGTTAAGAGAACAAAAGTTTCCCTAAATAAGAGTGCATATAAGTCCTATTATGGAAAGAAAATAGTGATACTCCTATTTGTGAAAATTCACTACGGTTTACTACTATTTATGGAATTTTTATTTAGAAATACTATGTACCTTTGTCCCTATTTAAGATTCTTGTTGAAAAATGACACGATTATTAAGACGATAATTAAATAAGCTAAATAAAGTATATTTTGAAATATTGTTTTGATGAGTATTAATCATGGTCATCAATAATAACTGTAATTTTATATGTGTAATATTTTTCATATTTGGTGATTAATTTGTCATTTAGGAGGGATAATTATTTCATCAAATATAAATGGGAAGCTTTAGTCGGAACATTCAAAATATGCACATGAAAAGCTTAAACTAGGACAAAGGGAGTATATGATACATGACTGCACTAGTAATATTGCACATACATGAGGCAAGCTTGATGTGACTGTTCGTATGTAGGTGACAGGGTTGCCTGCAATGGAGATCTCCTCTTGTGGGCCCATCACATTTGAAATTAGAAACGTTGTGTTACATATGATCCGATAGTTGAGCATGCTCGCTAGCTATATGGAACAACTTGAATTAGAATTGAAACATTGTGTGCATGCATGCAGGGACGGATCCAGGATTCTAAGTCAAGGGGGGCGAAATTTTTCGTTAGTGTAGGGGTGAATTTTTTTTTGTTAGTGTAGCGGGGTGAAAATTCCCCCCCTAGTGTAGCGGGGAGAAATTTTTTCGCTACTGTAGGGCTATGCGGCTATTTTTATTCAAAAAATGACATTAATACATGCACATTCCGAAAGTCTTTTAAATCTATTACATTCTAAATTTAGACGATGACAAAGACATCAACCAATACATTTTTAATAACTTCTACATTGTTTAACCTCATGAATCAGTTATTGAATTGTAATTTTTGTCCATCAAGGAGGGTGTTCGTGAGTCATGACTCATGAGAAGTTTTCTTAAAATTACAATAGTAGTATACTAGTATGTATGAGATTGTTATTTTTAGAATAATATGCACCACATACACACACATATATGGTGCATATTATATTTTAATATTTTTATTAATTCTATAATAATTTAAAGTTTATTATCCATGCAATAAATTATTTTTAGAATGCAAGAAGTAAATGAATTATGTAATCTAATGTCTATAAATATTTATATTTTGGATTCATTTCACGTGATCTAAAAATTGTGTAATTAGTGTGTCTGGTATTTAATATAGTTTGATATATGTTTTACAAAATCCAGTACTTGTTATCTAATAAAGATAATTAAACATTACTCCCTCCGTATCACATATATCTTCCCACTTCCAAAGTGGGTGAGATTAAGAATAGTGAAATGGGATATGAATTATTGAGGGTATGATGGGAAAATGGTGAAATAATGTGATGGAATGAAGGATAAATCCAAAAAAAGTAGGTGTAGTAGTGTATTATTTTTTAAATTATTGAGGGTATGATATGAAGATTTAGAAATGAGAAGATATATATGTTACGTCCAAAAAAGGAAAGTGAGAAGATATGAATGTTACGGAGGGAGTACAAAACTTGGAATTCTTATATAATAAGTATCCTAAATCTTAAATTACGAGTTACTCTATTGTTTATTTGTTTAAGTTATGTAAATTATTTTAGATGTTTCATCTTTTAAATCTCTAATTAAGTATTACATTATGTAAGACTATATACTAATTTTGAAAATTAAAAGCTAAGGGGGGCAAATCTAATTAAATTATGAAATTTTTATGAAATATTACATATATGGTAAAAAAAAATTGAATGTCCAAGGGGGGCGGTCGCCCCCCCCGCGCCCCCCCCCCCCCCTAAATCCATCCCTGCATGCATGCAACAATGCAAGTGCCTCTGATATTATAAAACTAAAACAATATCGATGTACAAACTAAAGTAAATGGCACCTTAACACCGAGGAAGGACATGATGAAATCGCCAATTTTATAGGAGCAAAGGGCTTCTAAGGATAGCTTTTTCTTGTCAATCATAGATTTGGCTCTCTTGACAAATTGGAGAGGATCGTTAGAAGCCTTGTGAAAGTGATACACAGGCAAGAGCATAAACCCAATTTTGTTACCCCACCGGGTACCCGATTTACTGCTACTCATCAACTTTGTCATATCCTGCACACATGCACACACACGTAATCGTGTCAGACAACCATGCCACATGTAAACTTTCTCTATAATGTACTTTGAAGGGCGGATTTACACTATGGTTGTATATGGTGGCCTGGTTTGGAGATTGGGAATACTTGGACTATTTTCAGCCCAGACCAAGCCAAATCAGACCAGATCAAACTAAACCAGACCACACTTGGATATTTATAAAATACACAAAGACCACGTACACATTTATCAGATTAGACCAGATTATACATTAAACCAGACCAGAAAAATTCTTGTCCAAGTAAAAACATCTTAAAAATGACAAAAACAATTTTAGTCTTAATCTAGGGTAGAATTTTCCTTTTTCTAATTTAGCCCATCTACTATTGGCTTATGCTTAGTACAATCCCTTTGTTATGCCCATTGCCCATTCGTAATTTTTGGATCCTCCTGTCTTACTTGACTACTTGTTTGGGTGCATGTACTTGCAATCAGGGGCGTACTGGGCCGTACTGGGTCAGTAAAAATAATATTTTTGGAAAAAAAATTACAAGGATTTTTTTACACTATAAATTTAGACATTTTTTAAATTTGGAGTGGGATGGGATCCTCCCTACTATACGCCCCTGCTTGGAATAGTGTATATAAAAATATATATACTCCCTACTTTTTTATAATAATGTATACTCCCTCCATCCCGGAAAATTGTTCCCGGTTTCCTTTTTGGTCCGTCCCAAAAAATTGTTCCATTTTCCCCTTTTGGAAAGTTTTTTGTGGCTACAATTCATTTACCTTTTTCTTATTCAACCACAATCATACATTTCCACTTTATTCCCACTTTCTTAAACTCCGTTCCAAGTCAATGCGGGAACAATTTTCCAGGACGGAGGGAGTACAAAGCAACAACTACTAAACTAAATACCTGAAGTCCGGGCTGTGGTCGTAAGTTTACCATCGCAAGACCAGTGATCTGGAGGCCATCCTTCAATTCTACACCACATGCAATTGTCGTTTAGAAAACGTGTTTTTTCCTTGTATGAACGTTAATCACGAACATAACTCAGTTTTATATTTTTCATTCGAAACTATGTACTTTTAGTTGTAATAGTATAACAAAAAATAACTATGGAGTAATATACAACTAAAACAAGAAAAGAAGCAAACATATGACTTATACGAAGTATGTGTGTATATATGGAAATTTGTCATTTTTGTCCCGTAATTTTAGGTCGTTTTCATTATTAATTCCGTAACTTTATTCATGGCCGGCCCAGATGGAGTGTGGGCAGCCCAACCGCACAGGGCCCAAAAAATTGGAAGGCCCAATTTTTTTTAAGTAGTCTACAGTCTACTTGTCCACTGCTTGGTATTACTACGTATTAGTTAGCCCGATAGTCCACTGCTCCGTTTTAGGATGTTTTTATTTGGACTGTAATTTGTCCCAGACCAGATCAGACCAGACCAGACCAGACTTGGATAGTTATAAAAATACAAAGAAACCAGACCAGAACAGACCAGAGCAGACCAGACCAGCAAATTATAGTCCAAGTAAAAACATCCTTATTAGTTAGGCCTATAATCCACTGCTTCACTAGGGCTCCGTATTACTCCCTCCGTCCCGCAAAGATGTTCACGGTTTGACCTACACACATATTAAGGAAATAAACTTACCAAGGAGTAAATTTTACCATTTTGACACTGTTTCGACACTGTTTGGCACTATTTGACACTGTTTTGAGGTAGGATAATTTTCCATTTAAGGAAAAGAGAATTTCTTTTTTGAACTACTAAAAAAGGAAAGTAGGAACTTCTTTGCGGGATGGAGATAATATTATTAGTTGGGACTATAATCCACTACTCTATTGCTCCGTATGAATGCAGTTAGCCCCTAAGCCCAATACTCCATACTCCGTATGACTTTATGAGAATATGCGATTTTAGTATTTATTAGGGTCATTATGGAATAGCGATTTTTAAGGCTTACTGATGTATGATGAATTGATGAAATAATGAAATTTACAAATTAGGTTGTTATTTATAATTTAATGTAATTAATTGATGAATTAATTAAACTTTTTTTATTTAATAAATTTGGTATAAATATTTTTATACTTGTTAAATTGTTAGTTATAGTCCTTAAATAAAAAATAAATTAACTTTTCACTTACATTTGTATATATGTATAGGATTATTGGAGGATTTCAATAAGTGGTAGTAATTATGTTTCCAAAAAATCCATCGAGACATGAGAATCGTCAAAAAAAAAACTTGACAAATTAACTTTTTCTCAAAAAAATAGCTATTGATAAATTCATCTTTGTTTATGTTTTATTTTTATTTGTGTTAGAAAGGAAGGCCTATTTTTTTTTATTGCACAGGGTCTCCATTTTCTCAGGACCGGTCTTGACTTTATTAACTTGCAAATTTGGTCCTTTAATTGATTAATATTATTTACGATTTAAGGACTTTTTCTCTTAAAAGTACACGTTCCGGCGATAGTATAGCAGAAAAGATTTCGGCGGCGTCGGATTTTTCTGCCAGAAAGTGTACTTTTCGGTTAAAAAGTCCTTAAATTAAAAAGATTTATTAGTTACAAGACCAAATTTACAAGTGATTAAAGTTATAGGTCAATAACGATAACAACCAGAAGTTACATCTGATTTTGTTGATATTTTTCTAGTAATAATAGTACCGGTGGGCGTAGCTCAACTGGTAGCGAGGGAGTGGCACAAGGGTTAGGTCTCATGTTCGAATCCCTGCAACTGCGATGAGATGTTACTATGCTGAAAAATGCATAAGACTTCTGCAAGTACCGGGGACAAAGCCTCACTCTCTATCTGTCAGATTGTGATTATAGTCCAATTTACATCCTCCTATCATGCTGTCCGGTCAGTGTTGGGGGGCTCTCGGGGATAGGGTGTCATCCTTTTTTTTTCTAGTAATAATAGTATTCATAAAATCTTTTTTTGTATATGTAGTTTCTTGTCTCGGATCAGTTAGGGGGTCATGCTAAGCCTCTCTACATGTCTGCTCCAAACTTCAAAAAGTTATGTACCACGTATTACTTTCTCTCTAACAACAAAATTCTCCACTTACCTTCTCGATCTGTAACGAAAAAATTTTTCACTTTTCTAAATATTCTCATCCTACCCTCAATAATTTTGAAAATAAAATACTATTACAATTTTTTTGAATTTATCCTTAATTCTGTCACATTATTCCACTATTTTCTCATCATATCCTTAATAATTCATATCTTCTTTCACTATTCTTAATCTACCTACTTTTCAAATGGAGGAGATTTTTAAGTTACAGAGGGAGTATTTGTGTAAAATTTTCGTTTAAAAATTTATTGGAAATTTACCTAGCTAGCCTAGTAATTTGTCTGACTACACCCCAGTTTCTTAGTGATATTACGAAAAGGTAATCTCTCCGTTTCAAAATAACTTTCTTTCTTTTCTTTTCGGTCTGTCCCAAAATAATTATTTTGTTTTGGCAATAATGTGTGAATCATAACACTTCACCCTTTTCTATTCAAATTTCAACCACATTTTTTACCTTTTCAACAACATTCTTAAAGCTTGTGCTAAAGCAAACAAAACATTTATTTTGAGACGGATGGAGTATTAATCAGTAATTTGTACTAATAATTTATTTACCTTTGGAGGATCGGATGGCAAGGTACCTTGATAGCCCACATGCAATGACTCCAAAAAGTACATCATTGATGGTCTGCACAATTGTTTCATCATATAAAACTTATTGTAATGTAATAAAAATAATACGGAGTACTCACTAAGAAATTACATGAAATACGAGTAATACATGAACAACAAATTAGGAGTAATAATATTTTATTCTTGAAATAGAAATTATGTAGTTCCCTTAAAAGCATGTATTTTCCTATTTAGAAGTGAAGGAGTCCTATTGAAAAAAAGATACTCCGTAGTTATTATTGTCTATAATGTTGCCCAATTCATATACAAATGATGGCGGGTTTATAATTATATCGAAAATCATTGTATTAAGAATAATAATTTTGATACTAATAACAATAATGACGATGACAAGAAATCAATAATAAAAATATCAACACTAGTAGAAGTGAAACTCTGTAACAATAATTATAATGTTACCCAAAGCTTTCTCTTCTCTTCCAAAACACAACACCCAACCATACTCTTATCATCTTATGGTCTATGACTAGTTGCAATTGTAAGAGTTGGAATATCAAATTCACCGTAGTGATGATCGTTTATTGAATAACCTATTAATAGGCTACGTACATACAGTATTACAATTGCATACAAACTCTATCTATTCTATCTATCTAATCATGTGTACAAGAATGAGTCCAGATACATTATTAGTTGGAGCCGTATGAGCTAAACACTCGGTCAACCGCCTAAGGGATAAATACTACCAATAATATGTACAATTAATATATATTTGAAATATAGTATAATTAACATAAGTGGTGACCGTGTGAGGATAATAATGCATGGACTTTGCATGATTAATAATATTGGCTAACACGCCCCCGCAGTCGAATCGGGAGGACTACGGACGTTGAGACTGGACCGGAATTCGTCAAATAATATTCTTGGTAAACCTTTGGTAAAGATATCCGCAAATTGACGGCGGGACGGAATATGAAGAACACGAACTTCGCCCCGAGCAACCTTTTCCCGGACAAAATGTATATCCATTTCGATATGTTTGGTTCGTTGATGTTGAACCGGGTTGCCGGTCATATATACAGAACTAATATTGTCACAATAGACAAGTGTAGCTTTGGTAAGTGGGCAGCGTAACTCGGTTAATAAATTCCGAATCCAACAGGTTTCGGCCACAACATTTGCTACACCACGATATTCGGCCTCGGCGCTAGAGCGGGATAAAGTAGGCTGTCGTTTGGAGGACCAAGAAATGAGATTGTCTCCTAGAAAAACACAGTAACCGGAAGTAGAGCGCCGAGTATCGGGGCAGCCACCCCAATCGGCATCAGTGTAAGAAACCAAGTCCGTGAGTGAAGATGAGCCAAGGTGAAGGCCGAAGTGAAGCGTGCCCTGAATATACCTTAGAACCCGCTTAAGTGCATGAAAATGGGGCTCACGTGGATCATGCATGAACAAACAGAGTTGTTGAACGGCATAAGATATGTCAGGCCGGGTGAAAGTAAGGTATTGTAATGCTCCGGCAAGGCTACGGTAAAGAGTAGGATTTGCAACAGAAGGTCCATCCGAAGCACTTAGTTTGGAATGGGTGTCAACAGGAGTACTAACGGGATTGCAATCCGCCATGCCGGCACGGCGTAGAATGTCACGAGCATAAGTGGATTGTGATAAGAACAACCTGGAGGAATGCCGAGTCACTGAAATGCCTAAGAAATATGTCAACGGACCCAAATCCGTCATGGAGAATTCAGCGGCCAGTTGAGAGATAATGTATTTGCGGAAGTCGTCGGATGAAGCCGTAAGAATAATGTCGTCCACGTAGAGAAGGAGATATGCAGTGTGACGGCCGCTATGATAAATGAAGAGAGAGTGGTCACATGCACTATGAATAAATCCGAGCGTAGCAAGATGAGAAGCGAACCGGTGATACCAAGCTCGAGGAGCTTGTTTGAGGCCGTATAAGGATTTCAAAAGACGGCAAACATGTTGAGGCCGCGATGGATCGCGGTAGCCCGGCGGTTGATGCATATACACAGTTTCCTCTAACCGACCGTGTAAAAAGGCATTCTTGACGTCAAGTTGATGTAGAGACCAAGAGCGAGAGAGAGCAATGCTGAGGACAAGTCGGATAGTAGCCGGTTTAACAACCGGGCTAAAAGTTTCATCACAATCTACACCGACTTGTTGAGAGTTGCCATTGACGACGAGCCGAGCTTTGTGACGTTCCAAAACACCATCAGACCTGTATTTATGTTTAAACAACCACATGCAACGAATAATATTGGAGTTAGGAGGACGGGGAACTAACTCCCAAGTCTCATTCTTAATCAGGGCACTAAACTCATCATCCATGGCGGCTTTCCAATTTGGGTCCTGGAGGGCGGTGATAGGAGACCGGGGCAGTGGGGATGGTATTGATGAAACGGCTAAGGTGAATATTTGTTTTGGTTTGTGAATCCCGGCACGGCTTCGGGTTTGCATGGGATGGGAAGAAGTTTGGGATACGGGTTGGTTGCATGGGGCATGCATGGAACGTGAAGGGGGGATATTATTTTGGGGGGAAGGGATATTATTTTGGGAAGGGATAAGATGAGGATGGGTGTTGGAAGAATGTGGAGGGTTGACCGAGCCAGATGGAGTGTTGGCAGAAAATGTTGGGGAAGGTGTAGATGTGTGGTTGGTGGGGCTATTGGTGGGAACCGAAGTGGGAGTTGGGGAATGGGTTTCGGATAATATAGGTAAGAGACGGAGCATGGGGTGTGGGTCATCTAAAAAATTGTATGTGGGTGTAGTGGGCCGGTGGGTATTTCTAAATGGAAGAACACTTTCGTCAAAAGTGACGTGACGAGAAACTATGATTTTATTAGTACAAATATCAAGGCATTTATATCCTTTATGGTTTAAAGGATAACCAAGGAAAACGCACGGGGTAGAGCGGGGCTGAAGTTTGTGAATAGTAACCGAGGGGTGGTGGGGAAAACAAAGACACCCGAATACGCGAAGATGGTCGTACGTGGGCATTTTGTGATAGAGGAGGTGAGTGGGTGATAGGAAATTGAGAGGTTTGCTAGGAAGTATATTATGGAGGTAGGAGGCCATATGGATGGCGTGAGGCCAGAAATGGGCAGGGACAGCGGCATGAATTAATATAGTCCGAGCAATAGTATTTATAGTGCGAATATATCGTTCGGCCGAACCATTTTGGGGAGAAGTGTAGGGACATGAAAAACGAAAATGGAGGCCATGTTTTTGTCCATATGTGCGAAATGCAGAATTATCAAATTCCTTCCCGTTATCACATTGAAAAATTTTAATGTTACGTTCAAATTGAGTGCGAACATAAACATGAAAATTAACAAAAGTAGGGAACGTTTGGGATTTAGAGGTTAAGGGAAAAACCCAAACATATTTCGTATAATCATCAACAAAAATTAAATAATACCGATGACCAGTAGAACTAAGAACAGGAGAGGTCCACAAATCACTGTGTATTATTTCAAATGGGGAATAAGTAACAGAATGAGAAATGGAAAATGGCAATTTTTTATGTTTGCCAAGTTCACACGAAATACATAAAGATTTACTAAGAGAGGTACAAGGAATAGTTTTATTTGTTCTAAGAAAACTAAAAACGGGGTCCCCGGGATGACCTAGCCGATGGTGCCAAGTAGTCGCCGAGGTAGTGAGAAAAGCTGAGTGAGCCGGTCTGGATATGTGAGGCTGAATGGGGTAGAGGTCACCCGAACTATTGCATCTCATGAGAACTGTGCCCGTGTGGAGATCCTTCACAGAAAAACCAACAGGGTCAAATTCAACAGATACAGAATTGTCGGTAGAAAAACGGCGAACGGAAATAAGATTTTTTATGAGGGACGGGGCATGAAGGACATTATGTAGTTGTAAGGGGGGATGAGGGGGGTCTAAAGTGGTTTTGCCAAGACCCGAAATGGGTATGGTATTACCATTGCCGACCATAATGAATTGTTTAGTACCTAAATTAGAAAGAGACGTGAGTTTACCCGAATTGGAGGTCATATGTGATGTGGCCCCAGTGTCCATATACCAATTGTCATCCGGCTGTGGTGCGAGTGTCATGGTATGCATGGCGGCATTAATATCGGTGAGAGCCGGAGCCGGACCCGAGAGATGGGCCTGGTTTGGCCGAGGACCAAGAATACCTGCTCCGGAAGTAGGGCGTGGTGAGGGAGCAGTCCAAGGAGCAGACGGATGAGGACATGGTGGCATGGCCCAAGGTGACGGCGGCATCCAGTAGGCCCATGGCGGTGGTGACGTCCAAGCATTGGGGTTCCATGCAGTGGGAGTGGGGTCGGGCCGAGGTGTACCACGACCACCACGACCTCGTCGGGCAGAAGAAGAACCGCGCCCACCGCGGCTGGATTGACCTGGGCGAGGAGAGGGAGACTGTGACGGCGCACCATGGAGTAGTGCACTGGCCGAGGAAGTGCCAAGTTGGTGTGCCTTACGGGTTTCGTCAAGCAGGAGCATGGACCGGGCAGTTTGGAAGGTAGGCAGAGGTGTGGCCTGTTGAATCATGGACGCGATGGTGTCGTACTGAGCGGGAAGACCGTTGACTAGGCGGAGAACAAGGCGGTCGGGGGAAACCGTGGCACCAACATTATGTAGCTGATTAGCCAGGGTTTTGAGAGTACGACAATACGCTGCAACGTTGGGAAAATTTTCCAAACGGGTGTTGGAAAACAAATTTTCCAAATGCACAGCCCGAGAATGTTTATTGTCAAGGAAAATATCAGTGAGGCGATCCCAAGCCTCCTGCGCAGTGGCGTCCGGTTCAATAATGGTGTGGAGTAAGTCATGAGATATTGTACCGTAGATCCACTGAAGGACTATGGCGTCCAAACGGGTCCATAGAGCAGCTGCCTCTGCCTTGGCAGTGGCTTGAGCGAGAAGCTCTGCGGGAGTGAGTTCAGCAGTAGAAGTAGAGGAACTGGCTGCAGTAGAATCAACAGTAGGGATAATATGGTCGAGAACTTGATACGCGCGGGCGGTGATTTTAAACAACTCCGCCCATGAAGAGTATTCAACGTTCTCGATGTCGAGAGTAATAGGGATAAAATTTTTAATGTTTGAGATAGCTAGGGCGGGGTGAAAGGCGGAAGCTTTGGTGGTAGCCATTAAAGAGGAAAAAAAAAGCTACTGATACCAAGTTGGAATATCAAATTCACCGTAGTGATGATCGTTTATTGAATAACCTATTAATAGGCTACGTACATACAGTATTACAATTGCATACAAACTCTATCTATTCTATCTATCTAATCATGTGTACAAGAATGAGTCCAGATACATTATTAGTTGGAGCCGTATGAGCTAAACACTCGGTCAACCGCCTAAGGGATAAATACTACCAATAATATGTACAATTAATATATATTTGAAATATAGTATAATTAACATAAGTGGTGACCGTGTGAGGATAATAATGCATGGACTTTGCATGATTAATAATATTGGCTAACAGTAAGATTTATCTTACAAAAAATGTACGAACAGGATGCTAGTGGAGTAGAAAAAAACAGTAGAAGGCCGGAAAGGGAGGCTAGGGACCAGTAGGAAAAACACTTCCGGGTGTTTGGTTTAAAGCCTATCAACCATTTTTTGGCTGGTTTGACTAAATCTGGCTATTGACCACATCAATCAACTAATACGACTGTTTGGTTAACTAGTTTTTTCAATTGGTCTTTTGTCATAACAGCCAAAATATGAAATTAAAATGCCAACAATTGTAGCGTTTATACCTAGCCGTTCAACCACTTTCGTATGTTACCCACGTCTTTTAACGTATCTACCTCCTACTTGCAGAAAGCCTTCCGCCAAAAATTCCTCCAACCAATACTAAATTCTGCCAGAGTAAAAAACCAAGCTGGAACAAGCGGCCCTCTTCGACACTTTCTACTCCTTCAAAATTAGACATCAATGCTATCTCGTTCGTCAACAATCGTCAGCCCTTGGAGTGCAATTCAGGGGAGGGGAAATTTGTGTTGCTTAGAGATTTTCAGGAAGCACTAATGAAAATTGTTAAGGATCGATTCTTTTCCGGCTCATATCTCCAACCACCACAATAGCTCACACGCATCACTCTAAGTTAGACCACAACACCTCACCATGTTTTATCTCCAACTACTAAGGTACATCTCTCACTCTCACACTAAGGAAGGAGAAGAAGAAGAAGAGCTATGCTCTCAGGATATCTCACGCAGGCTACTCTAACAAGGAAGAAGAAAGCTACATAAATAATAAGCTAGCTAACAAGAGGACACTCACGGGTGATGCAAAGACAAGGGAAGGACTGCAGCGGACAGCTCAATGTTGGGGTCACTCCACATAAGAGAATAGCCATATTATTGGTTAGGAGAGATTCAAACAAGGTATCAAAGTGGGAGTAAACATAGGGTGCAAGTCAATAATAAAATGGAAGGGAGGTCTTGGTAGGACCAAAACCTCCAACATTCTCCACCTTATTGGTCCTAAGTGGTGTAAAGTAACAATAAAGGTTGTGAGGAGACTCATCATCGCCGGATTATTACAAGTACATCATGCAGATAATACAAGTAATAGATGAGAACCAAAAAGTTCCCTTTCTGACCAACCTTATCATAATGGACTGAACTCTACCAATCGGTCCTTGAGTTCAGAACCGAAACCATCACAAAACTATTAACAAACACAACACATGTTAATAGACCACGCAAGCAAGCAAGCAGGAGAAGTTGGGGATTTCAACTAATCCAACACCCACATAAGGCAAGTACAAAGAAAATAAAAGAAATAATATTATTTCTATAACTAGCAAACGTAGAGCTCACATAATCACTTGGTATCACATTTTCAAAACACAAAAGAAAATAGCATTCCAAATATCACAAAGATTTTAATTAATAGAGAATTAAGCACATTTAAAGCAAACTCAGAGAAAATATAGTCAAACACTTTGCATATGGCATTTCTCTCATGCTCCCTAATGTCTCTATCTCTAGTAACATGGCAATCACGCAACTTAAGAATATTGCACACAACATTTATCATGCTCCACCTTAATAGAAATATTATTTTCTTTATTTTTACCATGAAAAACATTTTCATTCACAAATTTGGGTACAGTTTCAAGAAGTAAATCAGAATGAACTTCAACAGGAAAATGCTCCACCTCATTTGGAGCAACATCAGGAGAAACAAGCAAGCAAGGAAATTCATTTTCAACAAAAATGACATTTCTACTTATCAACACATTAAAACAAGTTTCACTCCTACACCAAAGCATATAACGTTTCATGCATTCATGATATCCTAAGAAAACAAATTCCCCAGTCCCACGAACACAGATTCAGGGCATTTCTCTCCTAAGGGAACAGACGAGGACATATTAAACAAATAAGTAGCATAACAAATAGCTTCCCCCTAGAACTTATTAGAGAGCCCAGACGAAGCTAACATAGCCCTCACCCTCTCTAATAAAGTTCTAACCATCCTCTCAGCAACCCCATCCGGTTGGGGAGTGGAGGGAACATATTTATGCATAGAAATACCCCAAGTATCACATAAATTATTTTAATACCGGTTTAATTTTCAACAAGGGTTTTCCAGTTTTTAAACTTATCAAAAACATCAGATTTATTCTCAATCAACAAAACCCACACTTTCTTTGAAAAATCATCAATCAACGTCAGAAAATAATTTTTCCCACCATGTGCGGAAACAGGGGAGGATCCACACAGTTGGTATGGGGGGCAGATGCCCCCAATAAAGTGTTAATAATCACCAAAATATACTAGGACTTTTTGTTAGTCCACACAATTGCCCCCAATGAAAAAAATCAAGTGCCCCCAACTGAATAACCCACTGAAGCAGCGGTGCCAATGCTAAAAGAATACTCCGTGTACGTTTCATCAGCTTTAATTTCATGAAATAATTACATAAATATGATCAAAATAAAGATGATTTACAAAAATATGATTAGTTACTAAAGGAGTAATGAAATCATAGTAATTCATGTTCATGTTTTGAACTTAAGTTACCACAACACTACGTTGTAGTAATGAATAGTCATATTTATGTAAATAAGTTTTATTTTAGTAATATTCTTGTAAAAATCCCTAATTTCATTGAATTGAATAGAAGTGTTTTTAGATGATGATTAGATATAATAAATGAACAATATAATTTATCCTAATTTATAGAAGTGTTAGTATAGTAACATACTAACTTTAGTAATTTCAGTTAGAATTAACAATCCAATATTTACAATTAGTTATATTATACTCCTTTCGTCTCATAATTAACTTCATAGACAACATTTAACGGTCTCCAATATTAACGTTTACCATTGATATATAAAAATATAGACTTATAAAACTTTTAATAAAGTAACATTTCAATCATACTACCTCCATCCCAATTTGATGGTCTCATTTCTTTTGGGGACAAATTTTAATAAAGTTGTTGAAAATGTAAAAGTTGTGGTTGAGATTTGAGTAGAAAAAAGTGAAATAATGTGGACCACATCTTTCTTTCCAAAAAGGAAAACATGACAATCATTTTGGGACATCCCAAAAAGGAAATACGGGACCATCATTTTGGGACGGAGGGAGTATATATTAAAATGAAGCATTCAAAAATATTTCGGTATTATAAAATAATGTGATTTTCAACTAATTAACGGTGAAAGTTAACAAAGTTTGACTACAAAAATCAAACTGTGAAGTTAAATGTGGGATGGAGGGCGTATAGTTTTTCGATTTAAGAATTAAGCAAGCCATGTAAAATATAAATTTTACATGACTACCACTCTAGTAGAAGGTTTAAGATATATAAAGAGACAAAATAGTATATTAGTTATTAAAAATATACACTACAAGAAAAAGTATTATTTGCGTCCATATAATTGCATTTCTTATCGATCACATTTAATGGGAATTTTTTTTATGATACTTCTCAATATGCTATTTTAATTCCTCAAGAATTGGTGATCGGTTTATGAGAATCTGTCTTGTTTTCTGTATACAAAGATATGTATTTGAAACTTTCCCAAATGAAACAATAATAAATCTCTTTAAAAATATGGAAACTCGAGGAGAGCACTTGTGATCCCTCCATCCAAAAAAGAATGGGCCAAATTGAATTTTTTTGGTCAATGATGGTCAAGTTTGACCAATGGTTTTCTTACAAGTTATTTAAAATATGAAATTTCTATGAGTCTATTTTTTATTAAAAATCTTTCATGAAAGTATAAAATTCATAAATTACACATAAATATAATATATAAAATCACTGTCTAAACTTTAACACCATTGACCAAGAAAAGTCAAATTGGTCAATCTTTTTGGAACGGAGGTAGAACTTTTTTTAGGTTTTTTATATTGTAATAATATACTTTATTTAGTTTGGAAATTCTCACGTACTTGATTAGAAATTTGGCTATTGAGATACTATTTTATGAAGAATTTTTTTTCATGTACGTCATTGTTATATATTCTGCCCCCAATAATTCGGATTTCTGGATCCGCCACTGATTGGAAACACTATAAGGACCAATAGTTCGGATTTCAAGCACATCAGTACGCTTAGGCAGATCAGGAAAACTAACTCTAGACTGTTTTCCTAGCACACAAGGTTGCACACAATTCACAGAATCAAGAATGGGTTCAGCATGACAAACATACAAGTTTTTCATCTCAGCTCTGAAAACAACTAAACAACCCTTCACAACTTTCGTGATTCCCTTTCATCATTTTGCCTTCAAACCCTCATTTTCAAGAGAAGCACATGATAGCAAATTACAGCACAACTCAGGAACATGCCTAACATTCTTCAAAGTAAGCACATAACCAGAAGAAAACATAAGGCATACATCTCCTATTTCTAGCACATTGCATTTCTTCTCATTTGCCAAAGACACAAAACCATGCTCAATCTCTCTTTAGTTTGAAAAAAAAAATTTCAAAGGGGACATATGAAAAGTACAATCAGAATCTACCACCCATTCTGATTTACCCAAAGAATCAGATATCACAGAACTCAAATAGTCATAATCACATAGATTTCTCATCATAAAAACATCACCTAAATCATCTACACACGTAGTCAAATTAGTACGCTCACTATGCTCATTTTCCATAGATTTAGGACAGTCTCTTATGAAATGACCAGATTCGTGACAATAATAGCAACGCCTCGAATTAGACCTAGACTTAGATCTATGTCGTCTACTATTACCTCTACCCCTCACATGCATAACCTCCTCGGATTTTCTACCCTCGCCCATCTGTTTTAAATCTAATTCCTTACTCTTAAGACCATTAATCACAATGTCAAGAGTCACATTATCTCTACCATACTTAATAGCAGATTTCACATCACTAAAGGAATCAGGAATAACATTTAAAAGAGAAATAGGGGAATAATCATCTATATGCTTATCACCACACAACTTAATATCACAAATAAGTTTGGTAAAAACATCTAGATTTTCCTCAATATCCTTAGACACATCCAATCTAAATTTGAATAACTTTTCAAGTAAAAACATCCTGTTAGGCAAAGAAGTTTCAGTATACAGTTCATTCAATTTATCCCACAAAATTTTAGCACTTTCTAAAATTCCAACTTTTCTAATCACAGAATCAGATAAGTTCAAATAAATCACAGAACTTAAATGCATATTGTGAAAAAGCATAGATGCGGTAAGCCTTAGGGCATCCTCATTTGGAGATCATATTGATGATGTGGAAGATCTTTTTAGATATCTGTAGTCAAAGATAGTGATTATTTTGAAAACTTATATAGAGAAAAACAAAACCTAATATCAAATATCAAATGTTTGATTGCTAAAGATTATTTTCAACTTTAAATAAATGCATTTAATGCATCCATGTCTTTTAATTTGAAATGACTAAAATACCTCTTTAAAATTGCAAGAAACTCCATAATAATGGAGTAAATTGAGATCATGGTTAAGGAGGGGTCCATAAGCTTTGACACTATTTGAGATATTTTTATGTGGCAATGACATGACAATGATTAAAATACCATAAAAACTTTATATTTGAGGAATTTGGATGATAATGCTTTAAGCTTACACTTACATTATCCTTTTAGGATAACTTTCTTCAAAAAATTTGCCAGTTCTCAATTAAACTCATGAATTTAGATGATGAAGTATAGTTTAATACACTCCAGAGATATCAACATTTATGAATAAACGATCTCCAAAATCCATTAAGTCAATTCAATAATTTATTTAACTGACTTGCCGATGAAAATTTTAACTTAAATTTAGTGTAAATAATCTACTCATCATGAAGAACACTGTCACAAAAAAGTCCACCCGAAAACACGTCAAAACATAGGCAGCCTGACGATGGATCCTGTCAGGTAGTTTTGACAGGATCATTCCTCATGAAATAATTGCATATATATGATTAAAAATGTGACAAAATATGTTTTACTCCTCAAATAGATCTTTATCATCTTATTTACTCCTACCAAAAATAATTTGATTAAAATTTGTCAAAATAGGAGTGAATACGTCATATTTTGAGAATAAAACAATGATAAATATATTCTTGAACTTAATTTTTATTTTAATCCCATTTACATCATTTTCTCTTTATTGTTTGTATTGCTTTTTGGCCCCGACTAATACTAAATGTTGGCTCCGTCCCTGCTCAAAAGTGGAAGCGTTCGCATTTTGTATTTTAAAGCTACTTTTATTGGAACCGGATCATATATATAAATTACAAATATTTGAAGGTTTCAATTGTAATAAAAAGAACAGGCTCAAATCAGCAATGAAGTACGAGATTCATAGAAGACTCATAGAATAGACTACTAGTAATAGATAATATGGGACACACACATTTATAAGGGTGAGTTCTAATATAAAAGGGTCTTCAGATGAAAAATGGGAAGTGATATGTAAGAGTGCACATTCACCTCCTTAAAAAAATATCAAAAGAGGATTTCTATATTTGATACTCCATATTAGATTTCTGTATTTGTTATTTTAATTATTATCTGAAAAGTGATGCACTTTTAATTTGTGTTAGTTTAATACACTTTCCTTTATAATCATGCACACATGACGTGCACTTTGTCGTGTGTGCGTCAAAATAAATTCAATACTAACACTAATTCGTAGTATAGTGAAGTAGAGTTCGTATCCACAGGGAAAGGAATAATTCTCTTTTTATAAACTAGTAAATAAAAGGGGGTTTTGGGATTGAGTGATTTAATTAAATTAAATACGAAGATGAACGAGTTACGTGGTTTAAATCAAAGATAAAAAGGACTTGGCATTGCTACTTTCCACTTGTTGATATATTTCAGTCGATCATTGTTATATCTATAACTTATCTCCTCTCGAATACTCAATCGAGGAGTATATCCAATTCATCGAGGAAAGTTATTAATAACGACCGTTCATTAATAACCCTTACTATTAGTCAAGTATAGAACAACGCCATATACCTACTTGATAGTAGCATTTAATCTCTTAACTCCTTGATGAAATCAATTGAGATTGACAACCTCAACACAACGGTTTCGGTTTAACCAACAAAATTAATCCCTCTTAAGTTTACTAACCACGACCGTGCATTAATAAACCGAAGTTACTTACTTGTGAAACCATCAACGATTAACCATCGGTTCGTTGATCGTTTCTAGTAATAATTAATATTTGAAACAAAACTAGTTGATCCTTTAAGTAATGTTCAAAAATATTAATATGAAATATGAATAGGAATTAATTAATACTCAAGGAAGAATATTAAGGAAAATGAATCCTACTATAGTTAATATCAAGATGTTAACTAATTGTCATCTTAGTAACACTCCCCAATATTAACATAGAGGAAGGAATAGCTATTACTAAGACCAATGTCAAGATGTTAACTAATTGTCATCTTAGCAACACTCCCCAACATTGATATAGAAATAGTATTTAAGAGAAGCATTAATATTCAAGGAAAGAAGTTAAGAAAATAACTCACAACTTTAATAATCAACAAGCTTCAAGAGCAACACCAAGAAATGGAAGTTTAGCTCCTCATTTGGAGACTAAACATGCTAAAAAAAAAAAATAAAAGAAATACTATTCTAAGTTGAGCTTAAGAGTATGGAAGAAGGAGTCATTATTTGTGAAGGAAAAATGTGCTATTTATAGGTGTTTTTCAACACCTTGGGCCGGGTACCCGACCGGGTAAAGAGCCCACCCGACCGGGTGCATGTCAAAATCAAATATCCTCCACGTTCTGGCGATCTTTGGCATGTTAAAGTGTCCCGGGTCAAGTCAGACCCGACCGGGTGGAATAGAAGACCCGACCGGGTGAGTGCACTTTCCAGGCACTTTCAGTTGTTGAATCAGACCCGACCGGGTGACATCTTATGCCCGGTCGGGTATTTTCTCCTGGACAGTCAAAATCCCTTTTTCTTCACTTCAAAGTCTTCCTTTCCAACACCATAAATCCTAACTCTACTTTACAACTTACAAATGAGAACTAAAATACGATTACAACTAAAATCACACAAATGTTTACAAACTAAATAAAATGGTAAACAATCCACACAAATCAAACATAAAAACACACACATATGCACTACTAATTAGTGCATATCAAATACCCCCACACTTGAACCTTTACTCGTCTCGAGTAAACCCCAAAAATATAAGAGTAAAGAGGGGTCTTCAACTCCATATTTCTTATCAACCTCATTTTTTTTATCATTACCCTTAGGATCCTGCAGAAATAAAAGAAAATACTTTCTCTCATTCTCTCATTTTGCCTAGGTGCCCTTTCGGGTTTTCATCCCAGCTTCCCACATTTTTCTGTTTTAATCCTCACAACTCACTCTTTATTTTTGCTTTATTTTTGCTTAAGTTGCCTTTTCAGGTTTTCAACTTAACAAGCTTTTTTTTTTTTCTTTCTTTCTTTTTTTTTTTTTGAAAATAACTCAAGAATACAGAGTATGAATGTGAGTTTTCCATGAAATTCTCCCCCCAAGCTAATCAAAGCACTGTCCCTAGTGCTGGTGTCCGAGGTGTCCAAGAGAGTGAATCTCTTTGCCCTTTTTGGTGTCATTTCTTTCTTTTTGGTTGAGGAAATTTCAACTTTTGTTGTTTGTGGAGTAAGGTGATTTGGATTTTTGGTGGGTTGTGGGTGTTTTGGTGGGTATAGAAATGTAGAGGGTGAAGAGGAGATGAGGAAGGTGAGTTTATTTGATGGATTTTTGTGTAGAAATGGAGAAGGTTCAAATGTATGGTGTTTTGAAAATGGTGTTTTGGCGGAGTTTGGTTTGTGTTTGCGGAAGAGGAAGTGAGGAAGAGGATGGCCCGCTCAGTTTTTTTTTTTTTTTTTTTTTTTTTTTTTTTTGTGAAAGAATCCGTCCGCAATGACCCGGCCGGGTGGGGTAAGTTGACCCGGTCGGCTTAATTATTACTTATCCAGAGAGTGATTTAGCAAATCACCCGGCCGGGTATAATGAAGTGACCCGGTCGGGTCTTGTGTTCGAGAGGACGGGTTTTGCAAAATTATTTTCCGCCCGGTCGCGTTTACGTTTCCAGGCAAAGCAGTGGCTTCAAGATGTAATCACCCAGCCGGGTATGTTCGAGACCCGGTCGGGTAGCAATGTGATATTAAGGATTTGTAGCATGCCTCGGCCGGGTGTAGGGCGGGTTATGTGTTTTTTTTTTCTCAGACCCGACCGGGTTAGGCTTTTACCCGGCCGGGTTTGATTCCCATTTTTTTTTTTCTGAAAATATCTTCTCACACATAAACAAAATGATCAAAATACAAACTTGGGTTGCCTCCCAAGAAGCGCTTGATTTAATGTCGCGGCACGACGTTATTTTTATTTTTATTTTTTTGCTTTATGTGGGATCGTGAATATCCCTTGTTTCATTCTTCCTCTTTGGCCTTTTCCAGTAAAGCCGTGATTTCTTCTTGGTTATCTCCTCTACCTTATGCTCAATTTTTTCTTCCTCTTCAAAAAGTGAGGTTTTCTCAGCTTCTTTTTCAACAAAAATAGGTGATGTTTGTGGTTCAAAAACATTTAGAGAACAAAGGGATTGTTTTATTTGCTTTTTTGTAGAATCAAAGATGTTGAATTCTACTTTTTGGTCATCAAACTCTAAAGTTAATGAACCATTAGACACATCTATTTTTGTTTGGGACGTTTTTAAGAAAGGTCTTCCCAAAAGGATGGGTGTAGCTTGGTTATCGGCTTCCATTTCAAGAATATAGAAGTCGACAGGGAAGACCAAATTTTCAACTTTTATTAGCACGTCCTCTACGACGCCCTTTGGGTATATGCTAGACCTATCCGCCAATTGGATTATCACCCTGGTTTCATGCATAGGGCCAAGTTTTAGGGACTTGTATAATGAATATGGAATAACATTGATTGAAGCCCCTAAATCTAACAAGGCCCTAGGAAATAAAGTGTCCCCTATTTTGCATGGGATAGTGAACATGCCTGGATCGTTGCATTTTTCCGGGAGTTTCCTCTGGAAAATTGCCGAGATATGTTCACTAACCTTGACCTCTTGTTTCCCTTTCAATTTATTCTTTCTTTTTATCGTGCATAGTTCTTTTAAAAACTTTGCATAACGGGGAACACTTTTGATTAGTTTAAAGAGTGGGATATTTACCTCACAATTGGCGAAGGTCTCGTAGATGTCCCGATCATTCTCCAACTTCCTTGTGTCCTTCAGCGCCTCAGGGAATGGAGGGAGTGGCTCATATGATGAAAGTGGAGGAAATTTTGTCTTCGTTGGTTCCCCCTCGTTGTGGTCAAACGCGTCATTGTTAACTTTTTCTTCAGCCTCCTTTGTTTGCAACTCCTTACCGCTCCTCGTCATGATCGCATTGACATGTTGTCTCGGGTTTTGCTCCGTTTGAGAAGGGAGTTTTCCCGATTCTTTGGCCTCTAGCCTACTCACAGCAATCGAAATTTGGCTAACTTGAGTTTCCAAATTTTGAATGCTTGACTTTGTTTCTTGTTGAAATTGCAAAACATTTTGTTGCAAAGTGCCCATGTTTGTAGCAAGAGCTCGAATCATGTCCTCCGTGGACATGTTAGAGTTGGAGCTTTGACCTTGATGATTTGGGAAGGATTGTTGAAAGGACTGATTTTGTTGTGGTTGAGGGTTCCCATATCTTAAATTAGGGTGATCTCTCCACCCGGGGTTGTAAGTATTAGAGTGTGGATCGTACCTCTTTTGTTGTTGGGTTTGGAAACCCAAGGCGTTGACTTGCTCTTCTTGGAGAGTTGGGCAAGAATCTGTTGGATGCCCTTGCTGTGTGCATATGCCGCAGACCTTGACCTCTTGGTTTCTAGGATTTAAAAGGAAATCCTTAACCAAAGAAGTCAAGCCGGCCATTTGACTTTCTAAAGATGAAGATGATTCCGCCGCGGCAACTTTACGGGTTGAGGACCGCCCGTTGTAATGCCTAGAGTTCTCGGCCAACTCTGAGATCAAGCTTGTTGCTTGTGAGGGAGTTTTGTTGACAATGCCGCCCCCACAAGCGGCATTCACCATTCTTCTATCATCATCAACAAGACCATCATAAAAGTAGAGTATGAGGTCTTGCTCGGTGTAGCCATGATAAGGGCAGCTAGCACATAACTTTTTGAACCGTTCCCAATATTCATATAAGGTCTCATCATCTTTTTGATTAATGTTGCTTATTTGTTTTTTCAAAGATGATGAGATGGAGGCGGGGTAGTACCTTTCTAGGAAGCATTTCTTCATTGCCGCCCATGTATCTATGCTTCCCGAGGGAAGATAGAATAGCCAATCCTTAGCCGTGTCCTTCAGTGAGAATGGAAAGGCCCTCAGCTTGATTTGTTCTTCTGTAACATTATTTGGTTTCATACTAGTGCAAACTATATGAAACTCCGCAAGATGTTTGTTTGCATCCTCGCCCCTTAGGCCATGAAATGAAGGGAGTAGATGAATAAGGCCCGATTTGAGCTCAAATGTAGCACCTTCATCAAGAGTGGGGAAGGTGATACATAGAGGTTGTTGATTTAAGTTAGGAGCCGTGAGCTCCCTCAATGTTCTTGTTTCAAGAGCCATAGTTGTTGGCTCTTCGGGCTCGCTAGAATGAGAACTAGCACTTGATGATTCTCCCGAGTCGGTACTTGAGAATTTATTTTTCAATCGCTCGAGAGTTTGCTCTATTTCTGGGTTTGATTGGTAGGTGATCTCGTTTAGAGAACGATATTTAACCATACACTATAAAGCTCTGAAGAAATAGAAATCTTTATATGTAAATAATATTTTTTTTTTTAAATAAAATAAAAAGAAAAATTAATTGCCTTTCCCCGGCAACGGCGCCAAATTTGACGTGCACTTTGTCGTGTGTGCGTCAAAATAAATTCAATACTAACACTAATTCGTAGTATAGTGAAGTAGAGTTCGTATCCACAGGGAAAGGAATAATTCTCTTTTTATAAACTAGTAAATAAAAGGGGGTTTTGGGATTGAGTGATTTAATTAAATTAAATACGAAGATGAACGAGTTACGTGGTTTAAATCAAAGATAAAAAGGACTTGGCATTGCTACTTTCCACTTGTTGATATATTTCAGTCGATCATTGTTATATCTATAACTTATCTCCTCTCGAATACTCAATCGAGGAGTATATCCAATTCATCGAGGAAAGTTATTAATAACGACCGTTCATTAATAACCCTTACTATTAGTCAAGTATAGAACAACGCCATATACCTACTTGATAGTAGCATTTAATCTCTTAACTCCTTGATGAAATCAATTGAGATTGACAACCTCAACACAACGGTTTCGGTTTAACCAACAAAATTAATCCCTCTTAAGTTTACTAACCACGACCGTGCATTAATAAACCGAAGTTACTTACTTGTGAAACCATCAACGATTAACCATCGGTTCGTTGATCGTTTCTAGTAATAATTAATATTTGAAACAAAACTAGTTGATCCTTTAAGTAATGTTCAAAAATATTAATATGAAATATGAATAGGAATTAATTAATACTCAAGGAAGAATATTAAGGAAAATGAATCCTACTATAGTTAATATCAAGATGTTAACTAATTGTCATCTTAGTAACACTCCCCAATATTAACATAGAGGAAGGAATAGCTATTACTAAGACCAATGTCAAGATGTTAACTAATTGTCATCTTAGCAACACTCCCCAACATTGATATAGAAATAGTATTTAAGAGAAGCATTAATATTCAAGGAAAGAAGTTAAGAAAATAACTCACAACTTTAATAATCAACAAGCTTCAAGAGCAACACCAAGAAATGGAAGTTTAGCTCCTCATTTGGAGACTAAACATGCTAAAAAAAAAATAAAAGAAATACTATTCTAAGTTGAGCTTAAGAGTATGGAAGAAGGAGTCATTATTTGTGAAGGAAAAATGTGCTATTTATAGGTGTTTTTCAACACCTTGGGCCGGGTACCCGACCGGGTAAAGAGCCCACCCGACCGGGTGCATGTCAAAATCAAATATCCTCCACGTTCTGGCGATCTTTGGCATGTTAAAGTGTCCCGGGTCAAGTCAGACCCGACCGGGTGGAATAGAAGACCCGACCGGGTGAGTGCACTTTCCAGGCACTTTCAGTTGTTGAATCAGACCCGACCGGGTGACATCTTATGCCCGGTCGGGTATTTTCTCCTGGACAGTCAAAATCCCTTTTTCTTCACTTCAAAGTCTTCCTTTCCAACACCATAAATCCTAACTCTACTTTACAACTTACAAATGAGAACTAAAATACGATTACAACTAAAATCACACAAATGTTTACAAACTAAATAAAATGGTAAACAATCCACACAAATCAAACATAAAAACACACACATATGCACTACTAATTAGGATCCTGCAGAATTTGGGAGTTTTATGGAATACTCACATATGGTGCAGAATGACGGGCTAACTTGAGTTTCCAAATTTTGAATGCTTGACTTTGTTTCTTGTTGAAATTGCAAAACATTTTGTTGCAAAGTGCCCATGTTTGTAGCAAGAGCTCGAATCATGTCCTCCGTGGACATGTTAGAGTTGGAGCTTTGACCTTGATGATTTGGGAAGGATTGTTGAAAGGACTGATTTTGTTGTGGTTGAGGGTTCCCATATCTTAAATTAGGGTGATCTCTCCACCCGGGGTTGTAAGTATTAGAGTGTGGATCGTACCTCTTTTGTTGTTGGGTTTGGAAACCCAAGGCGTTGACTTGCTCTTCTTGGAGAGTTGGGCAAGAATCTGTTGGATGCCCTTGCTGTGTGCATATGCCGCAGACCTTGACCTCTTGGTTTCTAGGATTTAAAAGGAAATCCTTAACCAAAGAAGTCAAGCCGGCCATTTGACTTTCTAAAGATGAAGATGATTCCGCCGCGGCAACTTTACGGGTTGAGGACCGCCCGTTGTAATGCCTAGAGTTCTCGGCCAACTCTGAGATCAAGCTTGTTGCTTGTGAGGGAGTTTTGTTGACAATGCCGCCCCCACAAGCGGCATTCACCATTCTTCTATCATCATCAACAAGACCATCATAAAAGTAGAGTATGAGGTCTTGCTCGGTGTAGCCATGATAAGGGCAGCTAGCACATAACTTTTTGAACCGTTCCCAATATTCATATAAGGTCTCATCATCTTTTTGATTAATGTTGCTTATTTGTTTTTTCAAAGATGATGAGATGGAGGCGGGGTAGTACCTTTCTAGGAAGCATTTCTTCATTGCCGCCCATGTATCTATGCTTCCCGAGGGAAGATAGAATAGCCAATCCTTAGCCGTGTCCTTCAGTGAGAATGGAAAGGCCCTCAGCTTGATTTGTTCTTCTGTAACATTATTTGGTTTCATACTAGTGCAAACTATATGAAACTCCGCAAGATGTTTGTTTGCATCCTCGCCCCTTAGGCCATGAAATGAAGGGAGTAGATGAATAAGGCCCGATTTGAGCTCAAATGTAGCACCTTCATCAAGAGTGGGGAAGGTGATACATAGAGGTTGTTGATTTAAGTTAGGAGCCGTGAGCTCCCTCAATGTTCTTGTTTCAAGAGCCATAGTTGTTGGCTCTTCGGGCTCGCTAGAATGAGAACTAGCACTTGATGATTCTCCCGAGTCGGTACTTGAGAATTTATTTTTCAATCGCTCGAGAGTTTGCTCTATTTCTGGGTTTGATTGGTAGGTGATCTCGTTTAGAGAACGATATTTAACCATACACTATAAAGCTCTGAAGAAATAGAAATCTTTATATGTAAATAATATTTTTTTTTTTAAATAAAATAAAAAGAAAAATTAATTGCCTTTCCCCGGCAACGGCGCCAAATTTGACGTGCACTTTGTCGTGTGTGCGTCAAAATAAATTCAATACTAACACTAATTCGTAGTATAGTGAAGTAGAGTTCGTATCCACAGGGAAAGGAATAATTCTCTTTTTATAAACTAGTAAATAAAAGGGGGTTTTGGGATTGAGTGATTTAATTAAATTAAATACGAAGATGAACGAGTTACGTGGTTTAAATCAAAGATAAAAAGGACTTGGCATTGCTACTTTCCACTTGTTGATATATTTCAGTCGATCATTGTTATATCTATAACTTATCTCCTCTCGAATACTCAATCGAGGAGTATATCCAATTCATCGAGGAAAGTTATTAATAACGACCGTTCATTAATAACCCTTACTATTAGTCAAGTATAGAACAACGCCATATACCTACTTGATAGTAGCATTTAATCTCTTAACTCCTTGATGAAATCAATTGAGATTGACAACCTCAACACAACGGTTTCGGTTTAACCAACAAAATTAATCCCTCTTAAGTTTACTAACCACGACCGTGCATTAATAAACCGAAGTTACTTACTTGTGAAACCATCAACGATTAACCATCGGTTCGTTGATCGTTTCTAGTAATAATTAATATTTGAAACAAAACTAGTTGATCCTTTAAGTAATGTTCAAAAATATTAATATGAAATATGAATAGGAATTAATTAATACTCAAGGAAGAATATTAAGGAAAATAAATCCTACTATAGTTAATATCAAGATGTTAACTAATTGTCATCTTAGTAACACTCCCCAATATTAACATAGAGGAAGGAATAGCTATTACTAAGACCAATGTCAAGATGTTAACTAATTGTCATCTTAGCAACACTCCCCAACATTGATATAGAAATAGTATTTAAGAGAAGCATTAATATTCAAGGAAAGAAGTTAAGAAAATAACTCACAACTTTAATAATCAACAAGCTTCAAGAGCAACACCAAGAAATGGAAGTTTAGCTCCTCATTTGGAGACTAAACATGCTAAAAAAAAAAAAAGAAATACTATTCTAAGTTGAGCTTAAGAGTATGGAAGAAGGAGTCATTATTTGTGAAGGAAAAATGTGCTATTTATAGGTGTTTTTCAACACCTTGGGCCGGGTACCCGACCGGGTAAAGAGCCCACCCGACCGGGTGCATGTCAAAATCAAATATCCTCCACGTTCTGGCGATCTTTGGCATGTTAAAGTGTCCCGGGTCAAGTCAGACCCGACCGGGTGGAATAGAAGACCCGACCGGGTGAGTGCACTTTCCAGGCACTTTCAGTTGTTGAATCAGACCCGACCGGGTGACATCTTATGCCCGGTCGGGTATTTTCTCCTGGACAGTCAAAATCCCTTTTTCTTCACTTCAAAGTCTTCCTTTCCAACACCATAAATCCTAACTCTACTTTACAACTTACAAATGAGAACTAAAATACGATTACAACTAAAATCACACAAATGTTTACAAACTAAATAAAATGGTAAACAATCCACACAAATCAAACATAAAAACACACACATATGCACTACTAATTAGTGCATATCAACACACGTATCACATTATTTTTTCAAAAAAGTAATTAATATTTACACTTTTGGCACAAAAATTTCACTTTAAATTTGATCTGATCCACTCATTTTATCATATGAACGGCTAAGATTACTTCTCATTTTTCATATGAGGAGTACTTTGTATTTGAACCTCTATGTGTGTGTCTTTATTTATTTATATACTCCGTATATAATAATTCAATGCTAGTCTATCAATAACAGAATACTCTGGGTTTTGGACAGGATCGGATCGGACTGAAACTGAAATCAGTAAAGCCCTTGGGGCTTGGATTAAAGACCGGTCCGATATCTATCCGGTCCGGGTCCGATCTGGACCGACTAGTCGATTTTCGATCTGGATGGGATTATACTCAACCTTAATAATATTGCTACTCTCTTCGCTCTACAAAACTTGGCCAATGTTGACTTACAAGTAGATTAATAAAATAAATATTATGTGGTTAGAAATTTATACAAGGAAGGGGAAAATAACTTTAGCCACGTACTATCTTGGGGGAGGGAGTATCCAAAGGAGGGAAGTATTTTTTTTGTCTATAAATGGTTTTTTTGCTTAAAATTTGGCACAAGTCTTGGAAGAGGGCAGTATGTCTTCTATTGTTGTGTTGTCTATAAGAGCATCTCTAATGCTAAAATGTGCACGGTGCACATGTGGCATGAGTGATAACCACATAAATATTAGCAAATAAATTATTGTTGTCCTTATTTGAATGATTTTGTACAATTTTGATAAGTTTTTCCCTGCAATGTCAACTGCAATGTCAACATTTAGTCGGTCTTCTTGACATTGTGGAGAAAAACTTACTAAATCTGTATAAAATCATTAAAATAAGGAGAGAAAGAATTTATTTACTAATATTTATGTGGCTATCTTTCATGCCACGTGTGCACCGTGCACATTATATCATTGGAGAGAAATCAATGACGTTTATTACTAAAAAAAATAAAGTCAACAAATGGAAAGCTAACAAGTCGGAAAGCGACTTACCGCGTCAGCAACCGCTTTTTTAACCGTTTTCATGTCGTTAATAGTAAGCTTAGCGGTGGCCAACTTCCGCGGCCAGAGCTCCACCCCAGCGCCGCCGCTCAGAGCCGTCTTCTTATCCTTCAGCCACAGACTCCTCAGTAGAAACTCCAAGACGTACACCACTGTGTACCACACCGCCATCGCCACCTCCTTGAGGCCCCATCTCCGCCGCCGTCCCTCTCCGACGCCACCCACTGACGGCGGCTGGCTGGAACTGTTGGTTTTCCGGCAGCAAGAGAGGAACAGAGACATGATTGAAGTCCCATCGCCGAGGGCGTGGTGAATTCTGAAAACGGCGCATTTATGGGCGAGAAGGAGATGGAATTCCCACAGCGGCTTGTCGGAGGGGAGCGGCGTCGAGACGGAGAGGTCAGCGAGGTAATCGTTGACCGCGTCCTCGTCCGAAACGGACCGGTCGCCGGTGAGAGGCTCCCGGAGGATGACGAAGTGGTCGTCGATGTTGACTTCGGTTTTCCGCCAGCTTTCGCGCCCGCTGGAATCTTTGACCATCAGGCTACTGAATCTTGGGTGTTTGACCAGCAGGGAGTTCGCGAAAGCCGATTTAAAGGCGTCTACGTCGAACGGATTCTGTACGCCGGCGACTGCGTGTATAATTTGGGTCATCTCCGGTTGGAGAAACAGCCGGCCGGCGGGGGTCAACGGCTCATCTATCTCTAGCGATTCCATCGATATAATTGACGTGTGGGAGATGGACAGTTCGTTAATTTGGATGGGTATATATATAGCCAATTTTGGCCGACCTTTGATTATATATACCGCCATTTATAGCTGGGAAAGCTTTCCCTATATTAATTTCGTCATTATTTCAGTCTTATTGCCTGACGTTACAACAGATAGAGTATCAGTACCAAATGAGAACGTACCTGCTACCATTAGTTGTCCACAATCACGGGATTGTTTATTTAAGAAGCTTTCGGCTGCTACAAATTTGATAAATTTTCCCTGTTGTTCATGTAGGGTAGATTTTCACAAAATTGGGCTCAAAATGTGACTAGGAAGTCTATTAAATAAATTATTGAAAAACACTGTGATTCTTATATACATTTTGGAGCAATGTTCAATAATTTATTTAACTGACTTGCAGATTGAATTTTAATGTAAAATTTGTGGAAATAATTCTTTCATGATGACATGGTAAAAAAAATGCATCAAAAAATTTAACCTGGAAACACCTCAAATAGACAAGTTCAGATTGTGGTTCGTGTCAGAACTATCTGACATGATCATTACTCATATGTAGAATATATAACGGGTGTTTGGAAAATGGATGTTAGTTGTTTTGATTAGCTGATTGATGAGAGCAGATTCTATTGATTTTTTAAGAGATAGTATTAGTAGTTTGTAAAATGGTGTTTGGTTAAAAAGCTATTTACAATCAGCTTATAAATTGGTAAATAACTTTTAAGGATATCAATTACTCCTTCCATTCCGTAGGAAGCTAAGGTTCCAGTGGATAAATAGCTCGCTTTTTTAGGAAAGTGGTTTCATAAAGTAATTTAAGTAAAGTGAAAGTAATTAAGAAGAGATAAGTTGGGGGAGAAGAAATGGTAAGACTTGACATGCAATGAGTAAGAAAGAAAATTTTGAGTAAATGAGTAATTAAAGAGAGTAAATTATTCACTGAACTGGAACGAGAACCTTTAAATGGACATTCAAATAAGGAAAGTGAGAATTTTTTAACCGGATGGTACGGTGGGAGTAGTTTTTTGATCATGTCATTAATTAGTCAACTATATAAACCGTTTTTGGATTTTAAAGCTTTAAAGAATCAGCCGTGCATTTGTTGTTACAGCGTTATCAACACATTTTATTGGTGAGCATTTTATTTGGTGATATATTATATATATGAAACTCATACAGTACTACTTTTCCATTTTTCTTATTTCTTATAAGTTTGATTAACTGTGATAACGTACGTTTTTTACTAGCTTACTAACAATTTGCAGAGATAACACATCAACACTTGTAATAACAACAGAATTTACATTTAGAGAAACTAAAGAAGGATCTAAACAACATAAAAGAAGAAACTAGTCTGCCAATTCAATGTTTCCAGCCAATTTCAACACATAGCAGTAGAGCACCAAACTAACACAAATCTGTTAATTAATGAATAAGTTGAATATGGGAGGTAATCGTTGACAATTTATGTAATACAATAACACTAGTTGCTTCGGTTGTTAGTTCGGTGATAAATTAATTGAATTACACAACTAACACAATAAACCTCATATAAACGATGATATTTCACATAAGATTGTTTTAAATGAGGCTCATATTTGGGTAGAAGTTCATAATATCCCCTATAGCCGGGTTAATTTAGCTGCAAGGAGGGTTGAGAATTTTATTGGAAAATTTATAAAAGATGATGATAATCAGAATAATGAGAAGTGGGAGTCTTATATGAGAATCAGGGTGTGCATGAACGTTGATAAATCTTTGAAAAAGGGTACGAATCTGAAAAAAGAAAGAGTTTTTGGGTGAATTTCAAGTATGAGAGGCTGTCCAATTTCTGTTTTATCTACAGCTTAATTGGGCATTCAGATAGGTTTTGCACTTTGAACTATGAAGAAGATCTAGTTCTAGAGAAAAAATTTGGGGTCTATCTTAGGGCAGGAAGCTGGGTGAGGACTAGCCTAACAGGAGGTGGCAAGTGGCTACTGGAGGGTTCATCGAGCTATGGCAGGAAAGGTGAAGGGGGGAAATAGTCGGTCTCAGAATCAACACAGAGTATAACTAAAGGAGTGGATGTGGAATCAAAGGAGGAAACATCGGGGGAGAAAAAGAGAAGAAGAATTTGGGAAGCCTAGGGAGGAGACAAGATTGAGGAAGATAACATGACTCTTGATGGGACAAAAAACGGGAAAGAGGCGGGCTTCGATCAGTAAGCCCGCCGAAGTTGATACAGTCAGAAGGGATGAAGGAAGATTGGGTGCTCGTGTGGCGTGGCAGACTCTGACAGAGTTTCAAGTTTATTTACTTTTTATTTTTCTTTAATGATTTTTTAGACTGTTGTGTGGTTTTTCTTGTTGTTGTTCCTTTTTGTATGACGATTGGTTTGGATGTGGGTGATGAGAGATTGTGGTAACCGTCGTTGGCTATTTTGTGCCCATTAATGGATCAGCAAATTATATTATTTCTTTGGATGTGATTAGTTATATCCCGAATCTGGTTCGCGGGATGGCGGTTGTCAGGAATCTTTTTGTCGGATTACCTACTATCTGAATAGTGTGAGACCGAGGGCAGACTAGTGGCAGACTAATTTTTTTTGGAAGAAATAGGCTTACATAGATAACATATCATTCAGATAGTTATACTAAAATAGGCTTACATAGATAACATATCATTCCCCCGATCTCTCTCACACATATTGGATAATTTTCTCTTGAATATCTTCTCGCATGTTGGAGTTGAGCTTTGTGTGCATAAGGATTTTCGTTGTGCTAAATAATTAAATTAAATGAGGCTAAATATGTGTAATGAAGCATCTAGCTTTTTTCTTGTTTTCTGACTTTATCTAATCCATTTCCATTAATAGGAAATTTTAAAAAAAAATGTAACTCATAAAGTTAGAGTATAGTTATTGAACTATATGGCCTTGTTGGTTCAACATAAAGTACATGCACCTGATGATGATCGCCGCCATCTAGGATTTTGTGGGTTTGCATGAATGTGATGGGGATAATGATTTTAAATTGCGGACTACAACTGGAATTGCAGTCACAATGATGTTGTTGCGGGCCACAACGATCCGCAACGGATCTCAATTGTGGTGTGAAATGAAACCACGTTAAGAAATTGCAACCACAACGAAATTGCAACCCAACAGGAATATAATTTTTTTGCGGTTAACTTTATATCTCATCTTGAATTTATTTACTTTAGCATGAAACATATTCCCTCTATCCCGACTTAAAATTAATTCTCACTTTCCTTTTTTGGACGTTCAAATTAGATCTCTCATTTCTATTTGGAAATAATTAACATTCTTAAATGATATTTTAATCATGAAATATGAGAAATAATACATCTATAACATGACAGTCATCATCAATATTTTCATCATTATATTACATAACTCTCAATGGAGTTCTCCACATCAAACTTCATCACATATTTCTTCTCATGTCTAGCTGCTTGGGCAACTTAGTTACTTAGTTAGTCACAGGGGTGAAATTTGGAACAACTGACATAGGATCGGGTCATGTCAGCGACATTGTGAGAGTAACCTTTCGATGTAAGGGGGACTACTTGTGCGCAACGAATACAGTTCTAGCCTATGTGCTTAGTTGAGTTACCATGATTTACAACCTCTCAGATATTCTATCGGGTCGGAGCGTGAGTGGCCCTTGGGGCTGAGATTCAAGCTTTGTGTGTAATTTAGTTACCGTGAGTTACCGTGATTTACAACCTCTCACATGAATTGTGTAATTTAGTTTGTCTGGTATTTAATATTTTTTGATACTTTACAAGATCAAGTAGTAATTAATTATCATAGTGAAATGTTTTCAAATCATCATAGTCAACGTTTTGAGATTTTTGCTCGGTAAATTCTTTTGTCTTTAATTTCTGCTTTCCTTTGCCCTGGTCTACAAGAAACGGTCCTAGTTTAGTAGTTCTACACAATCAATTCACGCTTGCTTTTATGTGATTCAACCGGTTCATCAGCCGTAATTACTCGTAGTTATGGAATAAAGACATAATAATACTCATATTTTGGAATTTAAAAATGATGTTACTCCTAATTTGTGCCCAATCAAGCATGGAACACATGCATAAGAGACTCCAATTCAAACTGAGAGATTTAGCTAGGTAATTTGGCTCAATATATTTGCATGGGTACATTTTTATCAAAACAACAACAACAACATCCAAGCCTTAGTTCTAAAGGATATTGAGGTCGGCTAATTAACATGAATCGATACATTTTTATCAAAGTATCACAATAAATTATAAATTAACATTATTATTGTATTAATTACAGTATAGTTACAAAACTCTGTGCCGTTGTCTAATGGATTTAGATGATGGTCGACGACATCTACGATGTAATTTGTTCGCATGGATGCGATGTGGATTGTTCAGCTCCAGCTTGTTTTTTCATTTCCATCAAAGCATCTTCAAAACACTTGGATAGAATCTTGGGGTCGGGGATGATGTCTTTGGCAACCAAGATTTGAAGGTCTGCCTTCCCATTATAGCTCACCATATGTATTGTAATTGCCTGCATTCATGCATGCTGCATTATTAATACATATCTCCAAATTTTAACATCAACTTTACCATATACATCATAGTTCCATTTTAGTATTCTCTCCGTTTTAAATGGATCAAAAAACAAGTTAAAATGTTAATTGAAGATAAACCTAATATTTCCCAGGTAATATTTAAGTTGGAGTTAGTCATTAAAATTAATATATTTAGAAACTAAATTAACAGTTTTGTTGCACTAAAATAGGAGTAAAACATACGCAAAGTACATTGAAAGATATAACTGAACATGTTTTCTTTCACAAATGTGATTTCTTTGGTCTAGTGAAAAGAACAATGTTTCCCTAAATAAGAGTGCATAAGTCCTATTTTCAAAAGAAAGTAATAATGGTTTTTCTTATTTGTGAAAATTCATTATGGTTTACTACTATTTATAGAATTTTCTTTTAAAAATATTACCTCCATCCCGACTTAAGCCTCTCGTCGAAAAATGCACGGTTATTAAGACAATAATTTATTAAGTTAAATATTGAGTATGTTTTGAAAAATAATTTTTGATTATTTAAACTATTGAGGTCATTGATAGTAAGTACATGCTATATGTGTATTAGTTTTAATATACTTCGTAATATATATATTTGAGCATTAATTTGTCTTTCAAAAGTCTAAATATTTCATAACCTATAAATGAGAAGCTTTAGTTGAAACATCCAAAAGATACATGTGAGAATCTTAAACCGGGAGAAAGGGAGTACATTATACATGATTGCGCTAGTAATGTCGGACATACATGAGGCAAGCTTGATGTACTTGTTCTGATGTAGGTGATAGGGTTGCCCGCAATGAAGATCTCTTCTTGTGGGCCAATCACATTTGAAATTGCGAACGTTGTGTTACATAAGATCCGATAGTTGAGCATGCTTGCCAACTACATGTAACGACTTGAATCAGAATTGGAAAATTGCATGCCCATAAGTGCCTCTAGCTGATATTATAAAACTACGGAGTAAAAAATATGGATGAACAAACTAAAG